ATATGATAAATTAAATATTTTCATAAAGAACAAAGTAAAGATGCAAATATGAAGTTCTTTGAATTTTCGAGTTGAAACCAACAATATGTCTTTAATATAACCGGATTTTCTTTAAAAATTGGCAGGGAAGGCAAATCTCAGTCCAGATTTTAGGCAAATGTACATCCACCTAAATTACAATTGATTTCCACTTAGTATAAACATAAGTCAGACAAAAAAGCATACTTTTTTTCTCAACAGTTATCATCTGTAGTTATAGGAAGTATATTTTTAAAATCATTTACATGTCCTCTATTTATTAAATAAAATTAACCACTTAAAATAGCATCTCTCCTAATAAAGAAAAAAAAAAAAAACTAGCAAATACAAGATTTAAATAAAAAAGACCTAAGTTCCCTTAGAAATGGGGATTCTCCATTCTGAAATTATAGTAGAACTTTCTGCCATCTAGATGCATTTGAATGCTAACCAGAAGGCTGCTGGTTCAAACCCAACAGGCACTCCTCCGAAGAAAGTTTGTACAAGCTTCTTCCGTAGTGATACCATCTTGGAAACCTAAGGAAGAGTTGCTATGAGTCTAATTCCACTACATGGCAGTGAGTTTGGGTTTTTGGGTTTAGATATCAGTCTATCACTTCTAAACACATGACTATGTATACCCAATAAATAAAGACTACTATACCGATGTGCTGGTATCTTTCGGTTGCCAACAATCAGGATAACATCACAGAGTTGCTGTTGCTTCAGGTAACTTTCCATCTTTCTGAAGGTTTGTTCTGCGTGGTGAACTGCCTGATAGAATTCTTCAGAGCTACTGGAATCCATATCAATTTGAGGTGTCAAAGAATGGCTGTTTGCTGATAATCTGTAAATCAGAAAAAAAAGATGGTGTTCATAAAGTGCCACCAATTGTCTAGACCTAGACACAAGCTTTGAGAATTTCATAACAAAAACTTTACTTCTGTCCGTATTTTATCATTTACAATACAATCTAGAAAAATGTAGTTTGGGTTAAAGAGATATACTCTAGGAAAGAATAAATGAATCAAAAACTATTTCTTGACTTAACAAAAAAATTAAAATATATGTTGTCTACACGGTAATAAGTTATGAAGTCTAAAAAAGTTACAGAAATATAGTAATATATTAGTTAACTTATTTCAAAAGTAATTATCAATAGAATATTTGCTTTGCACCTCATACTGAAGTAGCTAATCTAATTATATTAGTATAAATAATAATGATACTTGGAAAGTTTTACTAAATGTTGCATTACAAAAGTAGATGTTTTATTATTTAAAAAATTAGGAAATATTTTTTTATTCTTTTTTTTAATTTTAAGAATTTATTTTACATTCAACGTTATGTGTACCTTTAGTTTCAATGTTACATGTACATTTAGTTTCACTCCCCATTTACTATGCTCAACTCTAACCCAGTGTCCTCCCCTCCCTGCCCAGGAACACTCTCCCTGTGCCCCTTATAGTTATGCACTCCTGTTTGTCCTG